TGGGCAGGGGCCGAAAACTGCCCCCAGCATTTGAGGGGCAGCCTCCCCAGTGCCGTAGCAACGTGTGCAGCTGGAGCTGCCTGAGCAGTGCACTGAATGAGAGTGAAATTACAGACTCATAGACTGGGTTGGGTTGGAAGGGACCTTAAAGATCATCCAGTTCCTACCCCCTGCCATGGGCAGGGACACCTCCCACTAGGTTGATCCAAGCCATGTCAAACCTGGCCTTGAACAATTCCAGGGATGGAGCATCCACAACTTCCCTGGGTGACCTGTGCCAGGGTCTCACCATTCTTCTCATAAAAGATGTCTTCTGTCTGTCCAGACCTAACTTCCCCTCTTCCAGTCTGAAACTGCTGCCACTTGCTCTGTCACTCTGGTCCCTGCTAAAAAGTCTCTGCTTTAAATACTGGAATGCTGCAATATGATCTCTCTGGAGCCTTCTCTTCTCCAGGCAGAACATTCCCAACTCCCTCAACCTTCCCTCCTAGCAGAGGGGTTCCAGCCCTTGGCCCATTTTCATGACCTCCACTTAACCTGCTCCAGGAGGTCCGTGTTAAAACAACTCCATGAAATAACTTGCCCTGACCATCCTTGCAGGCCAGTTCCAGTGCAATGGAAGATGTGGTGGTGCCCCTTCAACACGGGCAGTGCCCAGCAGCACCACAGCCTCGTGCTTCAACCCAGTTGAGCTGGAGCAAGGCTGTGGGATGGAGATGGCTCTCAGGCCATGGGCTGTCCCAGATACTTGTCACCTTGCCCTGGTGGGAATAGCAAACGTTAGTTCGAGCTCCTGAGCTGGAGAGCAAGGGTTGAGCTGCCCTAGGTGGTCATCCATCCAGCTTCTGCTTGAAAATCTCCCCTTGCTGCTCTTTCAGATGTGCACGGGAGGTTCCTCCAAGCCCTTTCCTCACCCATCCTCTGAACTCCTGCGTGGTTCCCTCAACCTCTGCTGTCCCCCTGACCCTCTTCCTATTGATAACACCTCCTGATGCTTTTCATTTCACCTTCTCCAAACCCACTTCTCATCCTCCCCTTTTCATTTTAGTTCTCCTTTGATCCTTTTCTCCTGGGGCTTTATTCCCACTCCTGGTGCACGGCCACCTGACCCCTCCATGGGCCAGCCACCCACTTTCTCTACCCCCAACCCGTGCTGCTTTGCCCGTGGCTTGCCAGGGGCACCTTCAGCCCTCCAGGGCCACCAGCAAGAGACTTTTGGTGCCTTGGGGGGGACGTTCTGCCCCCCCCAGGAGCCGGGCGAGCCCCACGGGGGCGTTTTGGCCCCGCGTGAAAGGAACCCGTGAAATCAGAGTTAACATCATGTCTGGAGGGTGCCCGGGGAGGGGAGGGGGGGAGAAAATCAACCCCTCCTGCCAACCCCCTTCCACCGGGGAACACAGTTAACACAATGGCCCCGGAGGACAAAGGGGGTTGGAAAAACCCTCTGGAGGTCCCAGCTAATCCCTCCCCCCCGCCGGCCCCGGGGATTGTTCCCCACGGCTCCGTTTTCTTTTCCCTGACCTACATAATCCAAAAGAATCTTGTCGCACATTTTGGGTTTGAACCTTGAGGGCTCGGAGGAGCTAAATCCCCTTCTTGGCAGGGTGGGACGGGTGGTTAAACAGCGCCGGAGGCCCCGGGAGAGCCCTGGGGACAACCGGGCCGCGGCCTGGTCGCTGCTCCTGGGGGCGATGAAGACGTCTCCATGCTTGGCAGCAGAGATAGAGTGGTCACAGGGCTGAAGGTTGGGGAGGGGGGAAAGGGCAGCCGGTCTTTATTAACCCCTTGTAGGTGATGGAGAGGGTGTCCCCATCTCCCACGTCGTCATCGGCGCTCTCCTGGGCGGGTGGTTGGTGGCAGGGTGGCCAGCAGTGTGCTCTGGTGGCCAAGGAGGTCAATCATGGGGTGCATGAAGAGGAACGTGGCCAACGGGTTGAGGGAAGTCATCCTCCCCCTCTGCTCTAGAAGGCCCCAGCTGGAGCTGCAGCTCTGGGATCCTCAGATCCAGAAGGACAAAGAACTTCTGGAGAGGGTCCAGCGCAGGGTGGCTGAGATGATCCAGGGCCTGGAGTCATGTGAGGAAAGGCTCAGGAAGCCTTGAGCTTGGAGAAGAGGAGGCTGAGGGGGCATCTTGTCAATGCTTATCCATATCTAAAGGGTGGGTGTCAGGGAGATGGGGCCAGGCTCTTCTCCATGGTGTCTGGGGACAGGACTGGGGGCAGTGGCCACAAGCTGCTGAACAAGAGGTTCAACCTGAAGATGAGGAAGAACTTCTTTATGATGAGAGTAGGAGAGCTCTGGAAGGGGCTGCCCAAGGGGTGGTGGAGTCTCCATCTCTGGAGACTCTTAAGGCCCTCCTGGACGTGCTCCTGGGTGATGTACTCGAGGTGATCCTGCTCTGGCAGGGGGGTTGCACTGGGTGATCTTTTGAGGTCCCTCCCAATCCTTAACATTCTGTGAATCTGTGAGAGGTGAGTCCTCTTGGGGCTGAGGAGGTCCTTGCATGGGAGCTCCTGTTTGGGGCTGGAGGAGAATGAGGGTGTGGAAGAGGAAGTTCAGGAAAGCTGGGCTGGAGTTTGCTGGTCCCTCACCTATGTCAGCTGGGAGAGTTAGGGGTCTTTTGGAGAGGTAAAGGGCTTCAGGTGTGGTTTTGGGAGATCTGGAGCAGGGTGTGTCCCAGATGGCTGGATTAATGCCCTTTTTCTTCTCCCCACTGCTGGGGACTGGTGGTTGCTCTTCAAATGTCTGGAAACCACCCAGGACTCCCAGTTCCCTCCGGGAGCTGCATTCACCCAAGACAAACCCCTGAGCTCCTGGGCGGGTCCCATGTCTCCCTGGGGACCTCTCATCATTAGTGACACTTGCTGAGTGCTTGGAGGATGTTGAGGTGGAGCAGGCGTGAGGAGAGAACCTTGTGGCATGGTTCAAACGGTGCCAGAGGGTTCTCTGGAGATGGAAGAAATTTGTGGTGGCTTTGACCCCAGAAGTGCCCTCCTGCCATAGCTGAGGGCGTCAGGGTGCTGGGCTTCTTTGCCACCCACCTCTTTGGGGTGGCTCAATCCTCATATTCCCTGTTGACCCCCAAAATACCACGTAGCAGGAGTGTGTTATGGCTAAATGAATGTCCTTGTCTATAAATTAATATTAAGTATTGATCAATTAACAATTAAATGTGGCTACGATAATCAAATATCAGCAGGATGATATGAAATAAACTCAGGGAGTCTCTAACTGCTTTTTTTTTTGTGGTGGCCACCAGCTGGCCAGGGTCCTTGCCAGCTTGCAGATAACCCACCAGCCCTCTTGGCAGCTTTTAAAAAATCTGATTTCTTTCTTCTTTGCTGTTTTCTTCCCCGTGGCTGCTGCAGCTCCTGGACCTCTTCATCCAGTGGGACTGGTCGACCTATTTGGCTGACTACGGGCAACCCACATGCAAGTATCTTCGTGTGAACCCAACGACAGCCCTCGTCCTGCTGGAGAAGTGAGTGGGAGTCCAGACACCCAGTGATGGTTTTCACCCCAACCTGGCTTTGGGCAACCACGTGTCTAAAGCAGCTCAGCCCGTCCTAGGAAAGCTGGGACAATCCAGTGGGACTGGTCGACCTATTTGGCTGACTACGGGCAACCCACATGCAAGTATCTTCGTGTGAACCCAACGACAGCCCTCGTCCTGCTGGAGAAGTGAGTGGGAGTCCAGACACCCAGTGATGGTTTTCACCCCAACCTGGCTTTGGGCAACCACGTGTCTAAAGCAGCTCAGCCCGTCCTAGGAAAGCTGGGACAATCTTCTGAGCAGGGCCTGGTGGGACAGGACAAGGGGGGATGGTTTGAAACTCAAAGAGGGAGGTTGTGACTAGAGAGAAGGAAGGAATTTTGGATGCTGAGGGTGGTGAGCCCCTGGCCCAGGCTGCCGTGGTCACTGCCCCATCCCTGGAACCATCCCAGGGGAGGTTGGCCGGGGCTCTGAGCACCCTGCTCTAGTTGGGGGTGTCCCTGCTCAGGGCAGGGGGTTGGACGAGATGAGTTTGGAAGGTCCCTTCCCACCCAACCCATCCTATGATTCTATGTGCAGGACCAGGATGGGGCAACCTGGAGAGCAGGAAGCTCCTGGTGATCCAGAGAGCAAAGACTTCACCCCCAGCTGGACAGTGACAGCTCAGATAGAGAAGTCCTGGTTTATCCCACTAACCTGAGCTCTGGGTTTTCTATCAGCAAAGTTCTTGTTGTCTTTCCACTGCCAAGGTGTTTCTCCAGCCCCCAGCATCATAAAACATCTTCTGATCTGAAGACACTTTTAACTGCCCCAAGTTTATCAGTGTTTAAGAGGAATTTGGACAGTGAGAGAGTTCATAATATGCTTTAACTTTTGGTCAGCCCTGAAGTGGTCAGGCTGTTGGACAAGATCATCTTTGTAGGACCCTTCCCACTGAAAATATTGATCTCTTTTTCTTCTCTCTTGTTCTTCTCTCTCCTTCCCTTCTCTTCTCTTCTCTTCTCTTCTCTTCTCTTCTCTTCTCTTCTCTTCTCTTCTCTTCTCTTCTCCTCTCCTCTCCTCTCCTCTCCTCTCCTCTCCTCTCCTCTCCTCTCCTCTCCTCTCCTTTCCTTTCCTTTCCTTTCCTTTCCTTTCCTTTCCTTTCCTTTCCTTTCCTTTCCTTTCCTTTCCTTTCCTTTCCTTTCCTTTCCTTTCCTCTCCTCTCCTCTCCTCTCCTCTCCTCTCCTCTCCTCTCCTCTCCTCTCCTCAGCACCATGTGGACTCTGCAGGGCTTTGAGCTCTCTCCTGAGGGGGGCTTGTGTCAGTCCCACAAGCCAGCATCAAGGGGGATGGGGGAAACCCACGAGTTTGCTGCAAACCCAAGGAGTGGGATCCACTTTTCCTTTTTTCACTTCACTTTCAACCCCCCTATCACACAAGAGAAGTGCCACCAGTCCCCCATCCTGCCCGTGGTGGCCCAGGTGACCTTTTCTTGGCTAGACCTCCACTCTCTGCTTGGGAGGATCATCCCTGCTCCTGCCCCTTTGCTGCTACCAGACCTCACAGCTGGTTTCCAGCTCATCTGACAGAGAAGCAGCCTGCCAAAAATGATCATTAGTAGTTTTCCAAGCAGCTCGTGCTGTGGGCACTGTCCTGCTGAGTCTTGCATGGAGGAGTGGGCAGGATAAACGAGCTGCAGTTAGTTTTGGGTCCAGTTACCCTGAAGCCAGACCCTGAGGAGGAGTCTGAGTAGTTTTTTGGCAACTACTCTTCTCTGTTGCTTGCAGAGGAGGAGGTGGCTACTGTAGAGTAGAGGCTACACTTGCAGAAGACCAAACTTGGTGTGCTGCTGAGCTTTGGAGCTGCTTCTGTATCATCTGGGAGCCAGCCATGGCATCCAGATGTTACCAGGGTGGTGCACAGGGACCAAATTAGGCAGTTGCTTTGTGCAAAGCACTTTCATACCTTCTAGCCTTGGTTTTGGCTACGTGTTCAGAGGTGTCATCTGTTGTGGTGTTTGCCACCCAACATCCATGATGAAAAAGCTTGTGGTGTGTTCCAAGCTGTTAATAAAATGGTAAAATAAAGAGGGATCAAAAATCTGAAGGCTGGGACATGAAGCAGGTGGGAGCAGGCAGGGAGGTGGGCAGGCAGTGGGACAGCAGGAGGGCAGCTCCATGCTCCTGTTTTCCTTGGGGGGCACTGGAGCTTCTCTGCTCAGTGGTGGAATTCAAAAGCCACAAACCTGCCTTGGCATGTCAGCCTGTGCCCCCCAGATCACCCTCATTTGAAGGGCAATCTTCACAGACCCATTTGCCTTCCCAGAGGCAGACCTGGTGGAGTCACCAGGTTCCAATGTTGATGTGGCATCCCCAGCATGGCATCCCCAGCATGGCATCCCCAGCATGGCATCCCCTGCATGCTCTGGTGGGCACTGCCCTCCCCCCTCTTGGGCTTCAGGCCCTTAGGGGACACTCTGTGCATCATCCTGAGGGTGTTCAGGTTGGGAACTGTCACAACAAAGACCTGGAGGGGCTGGAGCGTGGCCAGAGAAGGGCAACGGAGCTGCTGGGGAAGGGTCTAGAGCCCAAGTGTGGGGAGGAGCAGCTGAGGGAGCGGAGCAAAGGAGGCTCAGGGGAGACCTTCTGGCTCTGCACAGCTCCTGACAGGAGGTTGGAACCAAGTTGGGGTTTGTCTCCCAAGGAACAAGCAGTAGGAAAAGAGGCAATGGGCTGAAGTTGCCCCAGGGGAGGTTTCAGTTGCCCCTGAGGAACAATTTCTTGCCCTGGAGGGTTGCCCAGGGCTGTGCCAGGCTGCCCAGGGCAGTGGTGGAGTCCCCACCCCTGGAGGGGTTTCCAAGCCGTGGAGATGTGGGGTGAGGGACACGGGGCAGTGGGGACCTGGCAGTGCTGAGGGTACAGTTGGACTCAATAATCTCCAAGATCTCTTCCAACCCAAACGACTGGAGGATCCTGTGATCCCCAGGGCTCTGCACTGAGCTGCCCGTGGCCGTGCCCACATCCTCTCCCTGCCCACCCCGTGCCCACCTCCTGGGGGCAACCTGAAACTCTGATCCTCTGGCTGGTTGTGTAACCTGTTCTCCTCCTTATCTCTCTCCCTAATCCCCCATCTCTCCTAGGATATCACGAGTGTAAGTATGCTGCTTGCTTGGGCTTTTACCCTCACCTGGCAGTGCCTCGATTGTCTGCTTTAAATGGAGCACTAAATGCCAGCTGCCTTTGAAACGGGTCCCTCTGGTAACTTTATCGTCTCAAATGCACTAATTAGAGCTAAAAGAGGAGCTTTTACTCGGGTGCTTTTTCTCCCTTATAGTTTAATTTAAACAAAGCTTGGCTCTGTTGAAGGTGGTGGTTGTTGACAGGGGTGGGGACAACCCTGAGCTCTCTCTTTCCTCTTACTTTGAATCCTTGTGCACGGGGACCACGGTGCAGACCCAGGCTCGGTTCTCCCAAAGCTCTGCAGCCACTTGCTTCCAAAAATGGAAAGATTGCTCCTCCCAGGAGCTCCTTGGCAGCTCCAGATGGTTGCCCCCCTCTTCCAAACTGGTGTCTGGAGGCACTGCTGGACGTGGGACCGGCTGCTCCCTGCAGCCAAGTGCTCCAGCAGAAGCAGGGTGGTGGTCCCCAGTTCCTTGGAGAAACCCCCCCCCAGCGTTGGCTCTGTGTGGCCACAGCAGGGCTGTGGTGGCAGGAGCAGAGCTGGTGAGGTCCTCCCGAGCAGATCTGCTGGCTCAGCCTCTCCCAGGGCTGCAGACTGGTCCCTGGCACAGCACGACCCAAATTCTGAAAGGTTTTGTGTCCTGTGGGCAATGAATTCATTAATAATACTAAATAGTTTACTGCCTCTGCCTTTACCTGCTGGAGGGTGGCCAGAGAAGTGCAGTGAACCTTCTGGGGAAGGGTCTGGAGCCCAAGTGTGGGGAGGAGCAGCTGAGGGAGCTGGGGGTGCTGAGCCTGGAGCAAAGGAGGCTCAGGGGAGACCTTCTGGCTCTGCACAGCTCCTGACAGGAGCCTGGAGCCAGGGGGGGGGTTGGGCTCTGCTCCCAAGGGACAAGCAAAAAGAGGAAAGGGCCTCCAGTTGCCCCAGGGGAGGTTTCAGTTGCCCCTGAGGAACAATTTCTTGCCCTGGAGGGTTGCCCAGGCCTGTGCCAGGCTGCCCAGGGCAGTGGTGGAGGCCCCACCCCTGGAGGGGTTTCCAAGCTGTGGAGATGTGGGGTGAGGGACACGGGGCAGTGGGGACCTGGCAGGGCTGGGGGAATGGTTGGGCTTGATGATCTTGAAGGTCTTTTCCAACCCAGATGGTTCTTCTGATTCTATTCTGTGATTCACACAGTGTCTGGAGGTACCAGCAGCTCCCACCTCTCCCAGACACTGGTCCCCAGTGTAACAGATCCACCTACGTGGGTTTGTTGGGGGCTCAGTGCTCTGACTGCTGCTTCACCCTCATCTGGGAGCTCTGTCCATGCAGCTCCTTTCTAATGGTTCAAACAAGGACCAAAATCTTCTTGCATGTGACATGAGTCACTTCCAAAACATTTCATGGACCTGAGCAGGTCTCAGAGGATGGGAGATGGCTCAGAGGGTGCCCAGGAGGAGAGGGCTCTGGAAATACCCCACAAGTTGCCTGGGGGCAACGATGGAGGGTGATGGGCACCATGCTGGGTGGAGGTTTCTGGAGGTGTAGATTGACTTTCAGCACCTCTGAAGTCCCCACATGGCCTGGGAGATGGAAGCAGAGCTCTCAGCCCTCCTGCTCAGGTGCTGTGAGACCTGCTGGAGCTGGAGATGTTCCCTGGGAGGATGGTCATTTCCAAAATCTACCACCCCAGGACACCTCCAGCCCTTGGGTCTTGCAGCAGAGCAGCTGGCAAGCTGCTTGGGCTGAAAAAAGAGAGAGAAGGGGAAAAAAATAGCACTAATTTGGGTGACTCCAAGTGCTCCAAGCTCTCTCCTTACCCTGGGAAGCAGCTCAGTTGTAATCCTCTGTCTTTGGGCACTTCCAGCTTTAGCAAATGAGCCTTTGGGATCAAGTTGTTATCCTTGCTTCCAGTTCCAAGCTGGATGTTTTTGGGAACAGTTCAGATTCCCTTTGGCTCTTTTGAGGAAGATTGAAGCATGAAAAACCTGAGATTTATTTTGGTTTTTTTTTAAATGAGTTAAATAAGTTTCAAGGTTTGATTTGTTCTCAGTTAACTCAAAAAGCCCCTGGCTGATAAGGTGCCAACTTCCCAGGGACCATCAGCGCTGTGCCCCAGTCACTTCAACGCTTCATTTAGGTCTCCAAACCCCCAAAAAAGACTCATGTGACTCGTCCACATCCATCCACCTCTGCCAGATCTGGTTTACCAAGAAAATCACTGACAAATTGTGGTGTTAGAAAGGGGCAGTGCTGGCTGGGAACCAATGGGTTGGATGTTGAGGCTGATACCTCCAGATGTTGAAGGCTTGACCCTCGTGGGGTCAACATCCTCTCTGCCTGCATAAAGCTCATGCTTGGAGCTTGCAGAAAGACCTGGCCTGCCCCAAAAATACACATCTGTGGATGCAAACCTGCATGAACCCCCAGCTCTGCATGGCAGAGAGATGGAGCTCCACCAGCTTCACCTGCAGGTCCCATCCCACCACCTCCTCTTCTCTGGTGTTTTGGAGACCATGGGTTCAATGTAATGTTAAAAAACAAAGCTCCAGAAGATTTTTAAGTTGAGGAAACCACTGCTGGAGTCCTTCCTTTAATAGAAAAGCTCTTCTATGATGTTGCACGATGTTTCAGGTTCCCAGCTCCAGACTCTGCCAGAAGAGCTGCCTCCCTTGGCCACGTGCCATGCACCATTTCAAATCAGAACACTTAATGCTGTGGGTCAGATGATGGGTTTTAACTTCCTCCTCCTCTTACAGCCCTGCCATTTATCACTTCAGAAGGTGCCATGGTGCAAAGCCTGGTTAGAAATGGGGGTCAGGAGGCTTTAGGGTTTCACGTGTGAGAGACAAACCCTACGGTGGTGTTGGGGGGGTTAAAGTGGAGATGCAAAGTGTGTAGAGCCTGCACGTGGCTTGGGAGGCACATCAAGGCCAGCTTGGATGGGGCTTGGAGCAACCTGCTCTAGTGGAGCAACCTGCTCTAGGGGGAGGTGTCCTTGCCTGTGGCAGGGGGGTTGGAATGAGATGATCTTCAAAGTCCCTTCCAAGCCAACCCGTTCAATGATTCCATGATCAAAATGGAGCTGGAAGCCTTTAGATGCCATCATCTCCTCTAGCAGAGCCTGAATCTGGGCCCTTGGTGAGGCTTGGGGGGAGGGGAACACGTTGAGCAGCAATACCTGTGCCCTAACCTGTTTCTGCTCTGCACAGGATGAGGGACACGAGCAGGAAAAACAACGTTTTTGCCCAATTTCGGAAGAACGAGAGGGACAAGCAGAAGCTGATAGACACCGTGGCCAAGCAGCTCCGCAGCCTCATCAACAGCCACCACTCCTGAGAGGACCTGGGGACCTCCTGCCTGCCCCCCCAGCCTTCCCCCTGCCCGGGACTTGGGATTCTTGTTCAGAGAGAAGAGATGTATTTTTTTATTCACCTGTATAGTCGTCCCAAAACCCACCCCCCAACCCCCCCGTGACAAAATGTTCCTTGAGAAAGCAGCCTGGGGGTTCAAAAAGGGGATGTCAGGAGTCTCCTCTTATAAACTCCTATTTTCAGGGGTTTATAAAGCTAAATCCTGAAGCCTCAGAGAGAAGTTCACACCCAGACTCATTGTTTTTTGGTGGTTCATCTTTATTTCTCTAAGCCCCCCTGGAAAGGATCAGCCTGATCCTTCTGTCCACTTCTCCACTTGCAGAACAAATGAAAGCAAAAATCACAGGGGAGGTGTCGTGGTTTTGGGTTCTTCTCCTTGGTGGGAAGATCACCAGAGGGTCACCAGTGAGCCCATCTTGCCCACTTGCCTGTTGGATTTAAGTGGGAAAAGGGAGTTCCCAGCTTTTCCCTCTTTCTCCTGGAGGGGCTGGTTGGCACCTTAGGCTGCAGGTCACTGGAGCTCCAGACTTCCCTGTGGGTCTGTGATCAGTGTAACCATCCCCCTGAGCTCCACCTCTAGGGCCTGCTGGTGGCTTTTGGGCTTGCACTGAACGTAGAAGGGCCTCAAGAGCTGCCTCATGAATGAGATTTGGAAAGGGAGAGGCAGCCTGGCAGGGTGTCCTGCTCTCATGGTGGTAGGAGAGGAGGGATGCTCAGCAGCAGTGGTGTAAATCCTCCCCTGATGCCCAGGGCAGCCTGTTCAGGGCTTTTTCCTCCCTTTGCACCCATATTCCCTGTTGATGTCCCACCTTCCCTCTCTTCCTGACACCATGCAATGAGTTGAAGTCCCTCTTGCTTGGAGCAGCCCTGCAAAACTCATCCAGGATGATGAGAAGGAACCTCCTGGAAGGTCCCCAAAGGAGAAGCAGTGGGAGGTGCCCCGTGGAGCAGCAGCATCACTCAGCTCAGAATTGCCTACAGACAACATTCCCCTCTCTGAAGATGCCCAAACATCCTTTGCTTGACCCAGGCCAGCTCTGAGGAGGATGATAACACTACCAACAGGACTTCAAACCCCAAGGTTCAGGTTACAGAGAGTTGACTTTTGCCCTCATCTTCTCGTTACTCTTTGGACTCTAATTAAGTCTAAGTGAAATCTCACCCAGCTGGTTCCCCCACCTCCCAGCCCCTCATGTTAAAGGGAATGAGAAGCTTCCTGGTGGCTGTTGGAGCAGCCCTGGCAGTGCTGCCTCAGCAGGGGCTCGAGCGGTGCCCGTTTCCTACCCTCAGTTGAAGGTGGTGGGTCCCCATCTCTGCTTCTGGAAGCTCCTTCTCCTTCCCCTCCCTCGGATTCCCCGTGCTGTGGAGGGGTGGAACTTGTTCAGCCCTCACCACGTGGTGTTTGCAGGAGGGCAGCAGCACTTCCTTGGTGCCTCCAGTCACTTTTTGCTGTGTTTCTTGCCTGGGGAGCCCTTCTGCCACTCCAGCTCTGGATCCACAAAGGGGATGGTGCTTTATCTTCCCTCCTTGTTCTTCAGCAATGCTTTTTCTGTTTTCTTTTTGATAAGGGTACGTGTTAATTAACCCTGAAAGTAAACAGGCACGTTGTCAGCCATGACTTTCTGGGGCTGTTGTCCTATCCCAGCAGTCTCCAGCCACAGGGACCAGTGGATTCTTTTCATTAATAAGAGGGAAGAACATCTGGCCTGGTGTTTTTTTTGCTTTTGGAGTGGGATCAAAGTTGACTTTCTTCTTGATGCCTCTTTGAAGCACATCTAAGAAAGATGGAGGGAGAAAGAAGCAGCTGAATGAGAAGCTGGTGTCAGCGAGGCCAGAGTGGGATCATCTCAGGAGGTACATCTCCATCACCCAGCAAAGGGTTCCAGAGGGACAAGTGACAATGAACTAGGTCCATTCCCTGCTGGTGGCCTCCTTCTTGCTCTCCAAAACGCTGGACTTGAGTGTGAACCAGCCTGGGGGGGCTTCACCCCAACCCTTGTGAGCCCCAGCTTGATCTTAGCATCCCAAATCCTGCACAGCCAAGAAGGCAAAATCACCCTCCGTGCCAGGAGGAAATTTCTTCCTTGCCAAATTGCTGGGGAGAGGAAGCAAACTGGTCCTTGTGGTCCTGGCAGCCATGGGAGAGCCCTCAGCTCTCCAGCCAAGACACGTCCCACGGGCCACAGGACCATGGAGCATTTCTACCCCTCCTCCCCAGCCCTTGGTGGGGCCACCCCGGGAGAGATGTGGGGACAAGAGTGTGAAGGGGGTGGCAAAAGGAGGTGGGATCAGCTGCCTCCAGCATCACTCTGAGCTCCCAGCCCAAGGCTGGAGATCAACCCCCAGCCCCCCAACGGTGACAGGAAGAGCAGAAGCTTCATTTCTCAGCTAAGGGCCATGAGATGGTAACAAGCACTTTAAAATCCTTTGGAACCAAGCTGCTACAGATGCTGCCACTGGCGTCGTTGAGCAGCAGCCAGCCTGGCAAGTGAGCTGCTCGGGCACCTCCAGGTTTTATTAGGGGGAGGACAGACTGTCAAACACAATTTTTAATTGCTTTTGTCGGCCACTGATGATTTTTCTTTGCTCTGTGCCAAGTGTGGAGGAGGAGGAGGAGGCACCACCAGGCAAGACCCTGTCGCTGCCCGTGACACGGAGAAGGAGCTTCCAGTGGGGAAAAGCATCCAGCTCCTGCCACCACCTTGCAACTCCTTGCCCTTGCACAAGGTGTAGCCACACAAAAACCCCAAAGCAGCTGGGACTCGGGCCAAACCCTGGATTTGGATGCTCCAGGCAGCTCCCAGCCTTCCCCATCCCACATCTGGGCTCTCTTGCCTATCTCTACCAAGGGACCTGGGGTGGGCTCCTCACTCCTTTCAGCTCTGTCTCGGAGAGGCTGGGATTGGGAATCCTGCAGAGCAGCTTCTGGCACTCAGGACTGGCTGCTGGGAAAGTCAAACTTGGCCAAGGGAGAGATTCAGAGAGGTTCTGATTTCGGGAGGTCAAGTTCCCAACCACAAGTCACAGACCGGGATGAAAAATGGCATTTTGGTGCTCTGGTCCTCATTAACTTTTTGTTCCAAGAGATGCAGTCCTGTCCCTTCAAAACAGAGTGAATCTTTCCAACAGATTGCTTAAAAAGCCCTGGAAGACGTTTCAGATCCCTTCTAAATCTCCTCCTAATGATGGGGATCCTCCAATCCTGGTGGGAGGGCTTACGAGGGAAAGGTGGTGGTTAGAAATCTATCCAGGGGAGGTGGGAAATGGGGAGGGGGGGGGCAGAACCTGCTGCTGTCATCAAAGATTTGCAACCCCCAAAACAAATAATGCTGCTATTCACACCCCCCTGCACACAGATTGAACCTGCCTTGGGGTTTTTT